TATTTACCGCATAACAGCAGCCGAAAAGAAAGCTGTAAAGATTATATTTAAATTAAGATTTCTATAAGCACTTTATCTTTGTATACTAATTAAACCTTAATAAATTTAAGTAAGTACTTATTATAACGACTTTAAGCGATTATTTAAAGAATTTATAAAAAAGCGAAAGGATTATATAAAGCTTAAAAAGATTATAAAATCATTATTTGAATTTAAAATTAATAATTATCGAAAGTAAAAGTTGAAAAAAACTGAGTGTTAGATTCTTTTTAAGCGATTAAAAAATATATTCGTAACTTCGTAACGGTCGTTAAAGTACTTGCAATTGCAAAACACTCGGTTATAAAAGTATTTGAATTCTAATTGCTCCTTAAAATTCAAAGGAGCTGATTCCTTTTATATAATTAAAAAGAATCACGCGCACTAGCTAACTAATAAGTTTACTAGTTAAGTTAAAAGTCTTTTGACTAGTATAATATGCTAAGCGAAGCATATTAAGTAGCTCGTAAACTCCTTTAAATATTATTAGCTAGCTAAGGTCGATATAGATATACCGATATTAAGGTTTATATATAAAAAGGTTGTTCGTAATAATCAACTTAAGTAAAAAGAGCTTAAAAGTGTTAAAAGATATAATTATAATTAAGCTTTAATAAAAAAGAAATAAAAAGAAATAAAAAGATAAAAAAAAAACCGCTAATTAAAACTTAACGCTCGCAAGAATGCTATTTAAAAAGAATTAAGCGTAAGCAAAACCCTTTTTAAAAATAAACTAACTTAATAAAATATATTTAAATTATAAAATAATATTATACAATATTCAAGTATATAAAACGTTAATATATAAGTTCAAATCAATAGTTTAATAGCAAATTCGCTAGAATCTAAACATGTCTTCTCAAGCTATTAATTCGTTTTCATCTTAAATTATTTTAACTACTTACGAAGATACCGATCTATTTCAAAGTTAAGAGTTCGAAAGCTTTATAATTAATTTCTCTAGCTTAATACTATTAATAACTATTAGATGTTTTAATTAATATTATATTTAAAACGTTAAAGAGATTAAGACTTTTAATACTTAATAGTTATAGACTTTATAGTATTCTTAACAATAAAAAGCTAATTAAAATCTTTTGCGAATCGATTAAAATAAAAAGAAAACTTCTTTTGTATAAACTAAATTCGTTTAAGCAGCTAAGAAATCAACAAGAAAGCTTATAATATATTATAAAAAGTGCGACCGAGCTTTAAAGCATCCGAAGCTAAAGGCTTTTAGAACGAAAGCATTAGCCGATTATTAGAAAACGGATATTTGCAAACGCGTCGTAAGTAAGCTAAAATAAAAGCTTCGGCAAACTCAATTAAGATTTAAATCTCTTTAACGCAATTTAATACGTTTGTTTTTATTTATAAATTCGGTTAATAAATCTAGTAAATCTAATTAGTAAATCTAATTAATAAATCGGATTAGTAAATCTAATTAGTAAATCTGATTAGTAAATTTAATTAGTAAATCTAATTAATAAATCGGATTAGTAAATCTGATTAATAAATAATAAAACTAATATTTAATAAATACATTTATCACGAAGAACGCTTTCGCATCAAGACTTAAAATTAGCATTTCGAAAAAGTATTTTAGATATTATATTATTTACGCGAAGCTCGTTTCGAATAATTAATAACTCGGATTAAAAATCTTTTTGCGAATTACAAAACTTATATCTTAAGCTCTTTAGTGCTTCAACTATTAAGCGAAACCTCGACGATAAGATTCTAGAAATTAATCGCTATCTATTAAACAATTTACTAGCTAATCAAAAACTTAGCATTTTACTAGACTATTAGTTTAGCATTAAGCGCTATTCTTTTATATGCATAATCGGAACTGCAATTACAAAAGATTAGCATATGATTCAACTTATACTTAGATTTATATACGTTGAGTTTAATTATATAAGAAAAGAATTAGCAAGAATTATTCACGAACGCTTTATTAAATTAAGCTTAATAAAAAAGATAATCGCGATTATAACGAATAACGCATCTTCGAATAATATAATAATAAAAGAGTTGCTTAAATGCGTCGAAGATGCATTTAAGAAAAAGCTTTTTATAAGTTAAGAGATTCTATACGTTCCGTATATAGCTTACGTCTTACAATTATCTTTTAAAGCGTTGCTCGGACCGCGATTATCGCTAACGAACGAAAGCTTAAAAAAGCATTAAAAAGAAGATTCTAATATAAACGAGTTAAAAGGAGCAAGAAGACGCGATAAACGAAAGATTGCATATATACTTACGATTATAAGTTCTTTTTTTTTAAAAAAAATATTTATTAATTATATTTATTAATCATTAATCAACGTACTTAAGTTCGAAAGTTTATCAAGTGTATTACGGCTAGCTAACCTCGAAAATCGCGATTTAATAAAACGATAAAAGCTTTTATCGACGATTCAGAGCATCTTTTAACGAAAAGCTTAAAGCTTGTTTTAAATATTATTATAAGATAAGATTCTACATTCTATATGCTTAATCGATTTATAACTCTTAAAAATGTTATTTAAAGACATTATATAAAGATCGATAAAATAAGTATTTTTAAATTATCTAATACTTAATAAAAGCAAATCTTATAATTAATCGATATCCTTCGACCGTTTCACTTTTTAACTATGCACTTAAGTGAAAAGCTTAGTCTTACTATTTAATACAGATTTTTAATATTCGATAAAATATTCGAACGTTTAAATAAAGCACAAGCACGATTAAAGTTTAAATATATAAAGATTTCGAAAAAAGATCGCAATAATTTTAAATAGATCTTGCAATTAAAAGAAAGCGTTATCAATGTTATCGAGAAATTAAATAAGTATTATAAGAAAACGCAAAGGCCGCTAAAAGATATTTTTGCTTTCGCGATAATCTTACATCTTGCTATTAAGCTAAAGACTTTCGACTTAAATTTTTCTTAGCTTTACGAAAGTAAAGATTAGTTTGCAATATATCGAGCGAGATTCGAAAGGCTTTTTAACGAATATTATAAGTCTTTAATATTTACAGCTCAACGTATTAATAATATCAAAGCAATCGATCGTTAACCGATAGCCGCTTTATTACTCCGCGGCAGATTAATACTAAGTTCTTCTTTACAAGCTTCTTTCGAAGATACAAATCACGAGTCGTCGGAAGTATATAATTATCTTTCAGCTCGTAAGTTTGAAATTTTAATTCAAAACCTTAATTTTATTGATTTTTATTAATTGAGTTTAACGATCGACGAACGAAAGATTTTGACTTCTTAGCGAAACTTTAAGCCTCGGTACCTTGATCTAGCTCGAATAGCTAAAGATTTTCTATGTATCTCTTTAACTAGTATTTGCGTAAAAAAAGTATTTAATATTGCAAGAGATATTTGCGATTATCGTCGCGGTAATTTATCGTTATTAACAATCGCAAAAGAAATAACTGCTTTATATTTCAAGATATATAATACTCGCTTAAATAAAGCTCGGCACTTATTCGAATCGATTTTAATAAATTATAATGATTTAAATAAAGATCAGCTTAAAAAGGAATTCGAATAAGAAGTATAAAAGTTTCAAGAATAGCAAAATCGTTAATTTTAAAGCTTATCTTGTTTTGAATATATCTTTGCTTACGATAATCTTACGATCGATCAAGACTTTCGAATAATAAGTTTTAAGCAACGAAAGGCTAAGTTGATAATATTAAAAGCTAAAGTGCGAGAATCACGTAAGTTTAAATAATATTGATTTTATAAATATTTATTAACTATATTAAATAAAAAAGAACTTAAATAAGTTTCAAGATATTAATAAAGATGTTTCGTTTAAAATGCGACAGCTACGATACGGAAAGTCTTTAAATTACGAAGGGCATTTAAAAAGTAAATTAATTTACTTGCGATATTTTTACTTTTTATCGATTTACTAATCGATTTACTAATCGATTTACTAATCGATTTACTAACTATCATATAGGATTATACAAAGCGCATTCTTCCGCTTCTTAAAGCAAAGTCGTAGCAAATCGATTATATTCTTTACAAAAAAAACTAAGCAAAGTAAATCAATCGAAAGTAGCTACGGATTTACTTTTCGATAAGCAAACTCAAGATAATACAGATTAGAACGTTCTTAATAATATAAAAAACGAAAACGATTCAAAAAATTCAAATTCGAACGGTACGAACGAATCGATTAGCTTTAAACGCTATATAAACTATAAAAATAAAGTGCAACGAGATACGATATTATATAATATACGCTTTTATTTAAATATAAATTCTAACTTAAATATTAGCGATAGTAAATTTATACGATCAAAACGATTCGAATAATATTTCTTAACAAAATTATTTTGACGCGAAAGAAATATCAAGCCTTAAGCAAAGTAATAAAAAGATAATAAGTAGAAAGGAAGCTGATAGAATACCAGACTCGGCTTCGCTATCTTATAAAACCTTAAATGCCGCTTAAACCTCGAAACTTAGTATTTCGAAACTTAAAACTCTTTTAATCGTTATTCAAAGTCAAAGTAAGTCAATTATTATATATAAGTTTAACGACTTTAAATCTAATACTTTAATAAGCGAACGAATTACAAATCTATCATCAACTTTAAAGCGCAAACGAATAAAAGAAAAAGAAAATGATAAAGCGGGATTAATACAAGATAAAAAGAAAAAAGCTTCTTCTAGAATCAAGCGTTTAATTGCAAAGAGTATCGCTTTTACTAGGTTTTATAATTAGCGACTTTGATTTTATTTACTAAATTGCTTTTTTTATATTATTAAGTTTTTGTATTTATTTGTTTACAATTGATTACAATGATTAATTGAATTCTTTTTTATCGATATCTTTAGTTTTTTTATTATTATTAATATATTTATATCGACTTTAGCTAGCTAGCTAAAAATACCGATAGTAGTAGTTAAAAGAAGAGTTCACCCGTGAACCATAGTTTATAAGTCAGTTACGTGTAGTAGCTTTACGTACGCTACGTATAACAGCCTTACGTAGATTACGTATAGCAGCCTTAAGTACGTTAAGTGTAGCAGCCTTAAGTACGTTAAGTGTAGCAGCTTTACGTAAGTTACGTATAGCAGCCTTACGTAGGTTACGTGTAGCAGCCTTAAGTACGTTAAGTATAGCAGCCTTAAGTACGTTAAGTGTGGCAGCCTTATATAAGTTACGTATAATAGCTTTACGTAGTTTACGTGTAGCAGCTTTAAGTACGTTAAGTGTAGCAGCCTTACGTAGGTTACGTATAGCAGCTTTACGTAGGTTACGTGTAGCAGCTTTAAGTACGTTAAGTGTGGCAGCCTTACGTAGGTTACGTGTAGCAGCCTTACGTAAGTTACGTATAGTGTGACGACCTTAAGCGATTACCTGAAGGAACTCACGGGAGCGCGGGGTTTATATAAGAGCTTAAGAGGATTTCAAAGTAATAACTTAAAATCAATAACTACCGAGTGTAAAGGTCGAAGGTAGCTGAGGTCTATATATACGAAGGTAGGAGCGCTAAGGACTCGTGAACCATAGTTTATAAGTCAAAAGCGAGGAATAAGAGAATACGAAAAATACGAAAGAAAAAAAGAAGGAAGTAGCTTGGCGCATATAAGGTGCGTCTAAAAGACTTAGCGTGTCGTCATACTACCCTTTCGTCCGAAAAAAGCTCGTCTTCGAGCGTTCATCTATTGCTTTATTATTACTTAAGTGATCGTAATTATTAACACCGTCCGAATAAGCCTTGATCTATTCGAAAAGCTTTGCGAAAAGGCCGAAGAGCTTTTTATGTTTTAAGTGGAAGTCACGTATCTTAAAAGGAGCGTATATAAAGTCGGAAGCGGGGTATTAAATAAAGTTAATATTGCGGCCGAGCTAAAAAGCGCGGTACTTAAAGTGCTTTTTAGTTTAGCGTACGGCTAAGATGTTCTTTACTTCGTATTTAAGTTCGCTAGTGATATTAATCGGGTCAGGTTTAAAAATAATTTGCTCGAAGGTAAGGTTATTAAAGGCTTTTCGTAGTCGTTTGAGGTAGAAGATCGGGTGAACTTTTATTGACTCGGAGAGCTTGAGTTTGAAGCTGCTATAAACGTTGTCGGTAACTTCGAACGGTCCGTTCGTCGGGTTATCGAGCTTTTTTAACGGTCGGAAGATAAGGAACGGGCGCATATTTAATTAAACTTTATTATTAACGTCGAAGTCAACCGAGCGCTTTAATTTATTAGCTTGTTTAGCTATGCGGTCTTAAGCGCGCTAAAAGTGCTCTTTAGCGAGGTTTTAAGCTCCGAGGTGGCGGTTAGCGTAAGCGCGAGCTTCGTCTTGGTTAAGCTTGCGAAAAGGGGTTTGGTCGTTAAGTCGGTCCAAGCTCTAATTCCAGGTGGTCCGAAAGGCGTAGCCGTGAATTACTTTAAAAAGGGAGAGGCCGCCGAAGGAGTCGTAAAGGAGCGTCAATTAAGCGAAGTCTATTATAAGAAGGAACTCACTTTAATCGTTTTAGTAATAGCTTACGAAAGGACGGAGGCGCTTTTGCAAGTACTGGTTGTAGATTTCGATTTGACCGTCAGTCTTAAGGTATGCGGCGGTGCTAAAGGTTAGTTTAGTACCGAAGATCTTATTGAATTTTTTTTAGAACTCGAACCAGTATTAAGGTCTTTTATTAAAAGTTAGTATTAAAAGAGCTTTAAAATACTTATAGATATAATAGATATAAAGCTTAGCGAGGCCTTTAGCGTCGATGGACTTATGATAAGGGATCGAGATTGCTTGCTTAAAAAAGCGGTCGATTATTATAAAGACGTTGTCGTAGCCGTGTTTGTTTTTATTAAAGTTATAAAAATCTATAATAACGTGCTTTTAAAGGCGCGAAAGGATCGAGAGAAATTAAAGCAAACTAGGTTTTTTATCGCGAGGCATTGAAGCTCGTTTGCAAGCATAGCAGTTGCGGCAGTATTAGTTAACGAATCTAGCTATGCCGTGCTAGTAATATTATATTGTAAAAAGCTTATAGGTTTTGCGAGAGCTAAAGTGTGCCGTAAATACTTGGTCGTAAACTTCTCGGACGAGTAACGAGCGCAAGTTTTAAACGTCGAAAACTAATAAGCGGCCGTTATAAAGCAGCAGGTCGCTTTTTATAATAAGTTTGACTCGTAAACCGTGGTTTACGAGTAAAGACTTAACTTTAAAAGCTTAAATTCGAAATGCTATAAAACTAAAAGCGGTCCGATTAGCTTTTAAAACTTGGTTAATAACTCAGAATATCGGTGAAAGCTTCGCGATCTTTTCGATAGTGACGGCGGTTTTTAAAAGCGTAAATTAGCGTAGCTTTTCGATTAAAAGTCGTAAGTCAACGTTATCGGCGCGGAGCAGCGTTTGCAAGCGTTAGGTGCGCTTAAGGCTGTTTTAAAAAAAGAGCTTTTCGGTGCGACGTATTAGCGCGTCAGCTAAAAAGTTGTCTTTATCTGGTTTGTACGTAATAATAAAGTTATAATCGAAGAAGAGCTTTGCTTAGCGTGCTTAACGAGCGTTAAAGGTCTTAAAGGTCATAAAGTACTTTAAAGCCTTATGGTCGGTAATTACTTAAACTTAGTGAAGGGAGCCGGCGAGTTCGGCGCGGAAGTTATTAAAAGAGCGTATAATAACCAGCATCTTTTTATCGTAAACGACGTAATTAAGCTTAGCGAAAGCTATAATTTTAAAATAATAAGCGATTAGTAGTTAGTCGGAACTATGCTTTTGAAAGAGGACTAAAGCGATTACGCCGTCGGAAGCGTTAGTCTTTAGCATATAAGAAAGGTCTTGGTTATAATGCTATAAGATTGGCGTAATAATCAAAGCGAGCTTTAAGAAGTCGAAGCTTCTTTGATATTAAGAATTGAATGAAAAAAAAACGTTAGCTTTAGTTAAGTGCATTAAAAGCTTCGCGATTACGCCGTAGTCTCGAATAAATCGACGGTAAAAGTTATAAAATCCAAAGAAGTTTTAGACGCTTTTAATAATTGTAAAAAGCGCTTAATGCTTTACTATCGATATCTTATCCGGATTTACTTTTAAGCTTTTAGTAAAAATAATAAAGCTTAAGTATTTTACCTTAATAATGCTAAATTCGCATTTTTTGATATCAGCTTAAAGGCTAGCGTCGTCGAGTCGTTAAAAGACTTAGCGGACGTAATAAGCGTGCTTTAAAAGGTCGGAGAAATAGATCAAGATGTCGTCTAAATATGCCGTGCAAAAGATATTTAAAAAGTCGAAAAGGAAGTTATTCATATAGCGTTAATAAGTAGCGGGTCTATTAGTCAGTCCGAATAAGAAAACCTTGCACTTGTAAGCACCGTAGCGTATTTTAAATATTATAAGCTCTTTTAAAGCTAAGTCTATTCGTATTTTATGAAAAGCTTGCCGAATATCGAGTTTCGTAAAGATTTTAACTCTTAAGAGACGTGCGAAGGTCTTATCGATTAAAAAAAGAAGGTATCGATCTTTACGAATAAGGTTGTTTAGCGCGCGGAAGTCAATACAAAAGCGGAAAGAACCGTCTTGCTTCTTAGCAAATAAGACTAGAGCTGCAAATAGCGCTATTAAAAGTTCGATAAAACCTTTATTAAAATTGTCGATAAAGTAGGCTTTAATAAGCTTTAGCTTAAAGATCGATATTTTATATAATAATGAGTACCGAAGCGCCTTCTCTCCCTTTTCGAGAAGCTCGATTTTATAATCGTAAGGCTTGTGTAGTGCTAGCACGTTGCTAGCGGCCTTAAAAAACACGTATATATAATCGAAGTATTCGAGAAAGATAAGAAGGTCGTTAATAAGCTTTAATAGTTCCGCTATAAAGTCGATAATAGAAATAAAGCCGTTAATAAAGCGTGTTAGCGCTGCTTGGTAGTCAGCTTAAGTAAAAGCAATCGTTTAACGCTTAAAGATCAAGCAATCAAGCTCGTAAAAGAACGTAAAAAATAATTTTACGTCTTTTTAACGAGCGATCATATAAAAAGCGTGTTCGAAGACGCCGTTGATTTTAAGGTTTCTATTAATTTTATGCTTAGATGTTTAACGAGAGCGTTTAACGAGTAAAAAAGGTTTTACGGAAGCGATGTCGGTTGATAAAAGCTTACGGTTTATCTAAGATATTGATTTAGCGTAGTTTTTAGAAAAAGTGTTTTTCGTAAAGCGAAAAAGTAACGGCTTTACGAAAAGGTAAATAAAAAAAAAAGGTTTAACGATCTTAAAAAAGGAAGCGGAAAGAGAACGATTTCGAAAAGAAAGAGGACGATTCTAAGCAGAAAGAGATGATTTAACGATTATTATTGCTGCTTGATCCGCTCGTAAACTATAGTTCACGAATGAATTAGCGTCGTAAGCTTTTTAAAAGCGGTTTAAAGCTCGATCACGCTTATTAGCGTCGTGTTAATGACGAGCGTTTACCTTACGCTAATTAAAGTATATAATCTTAATAGATTTAGCGTAAGTAGCGGTCGGAAGGTTAGAACGAAGCTAATAAAGCTTGCGGCGAGCGTAATTAAAAAGAATCTGGTGCTTAGCTAGCCATGCTCGTTCGAAGATCACGCTATGATTTCTAAGATTAATAATAAGAAAAAGAGTAAAAGATTAAACGCGCTTATTAACCGTAAGGTTAAGAAGTGCAAAATGTAAGATAATAGCTCCACGAGCTCTATTATATAATTTGACGAAGAATAAGGCCGAAAAAAGTTAAATCAAAGGTTTAAGAAAAAAAGAAAGTGATTTAAATAGCGCTAAGTCAATCAGCGCGTACCTATTAGCTTTTAAGTCGAGCAAAGCAGATACTTTATACGAAAGGCCATTTTTAATAAAGGTGACGGGTATAGTTATAGCTTTATTATTAAAGAGCTTCGTAAGGTCGAAGTATCGTATATCTCGAAGCTAGCTTAAAAAAAAGGCTTTGCTTAAGCTTCGACGTTTCCTTTATTAAGAGCGTCGGAGTTAGCAAAAAGGAGCTCTTAATAATCCTTAAGAGCGTCGGAATAAAGCCTATCGTCCGAGTCATCCGAATGAAGGCCGTATTCGAGTTTAGCGCCGTATTCTATCTCGTTGATTAAGTAATAGCGAGAGAGCTTCGGCGTATTCGAGTCCTTGCGGGACGATTCAAGAGTCTTAATCGCTAACTTAAAAGCGTTTCCGAAAGAAAAGAATTTGTTAAACCGATTAAATCGATCTGCATTAGCGTTAAAGCTATTAAAGGTTTAGCGCTAAAGGGTAAAGAAAGAGACGAAGGCTAAGCTACCTTAGCGGTTCTCGTAATAAGTAATTTGCTTAACCGCTGCTCTTTAAGCCGAGCGAGATTTATTACGAGCTTTATTATAAAAGCTTTTCGCGAATTAAGTGTTGTACTTAGCTTATAAAGCATCGTAAAGCTTTGCAAACGCGTATTAGCTAGCAGCTAATTATTAAACGGCGATCTAAAAGTCCTTAAAAGTTATAGTCTTAGCAAATTCTAAATAAAGCTAGTCGCGCAGCGTCTTAGTGATCTTAAAACGCAAGGCCTTACGTAATCGGTCCTCGTCCTTAATCTCGGCGGTAGCGGCAAGCTTCGAGAAAATAAAGTAAAAGTCTTAGAATTGCTAGTTAAGCCTTATATAGAGTTTTTCGAACTCAATTGACGCTTTGGCCTTTTTAACGAGGTCGTTTAAGAACTCGAAAGCGATCTAGACGAGTTCCGAAGCGGTTACGAGGTTGCTACGATCTATAATTAAAAAGGCTAAAAATAAGTGGGCTGTTCTTTCGGTTTAGTTAAAAACGTAGTTCTTGCGTTAGCGTTTTATAAAAAAGTATTTATCGAAAGCTTCTAAGTTGTCGAAGACGCGAGCTTGCTAATGACGTGCTCGGTAGCTTACGCCGTTTAAGAGCTTTTATTTAAAGTTAAAGATCCGCTCGATACGAGCGCGACCTTAAAAAGCTAAAGAAGAAGCTTTAAAAGTATTGAACTTAATTAAAGTGCGAGAGTTGGTTGGCTTATAAAGAGAAAGTAGTTCGTCATCGTCGTCGGCGAAGAAGCGGCGAGGGTTAGCGGTTTTATAAGTAAAAAGAATAGCTTAAGAGACCGAAGGCTTATATAGCTCTTTGCCTTTAGAATTATCTTCGAAGGAAACTTAAAAAGGCTTTAACGGGCGTTCCGTAGTTAGCAAAACCGCTTA